AGGGTGCTGAGAGCATCTGTGGGGGTGGTTTTTGTATTCACAGGTCTGTTTTCCCAACTTCAGCATTAAAAAGTTGTAAGATAGATAGATAAATATATAAAAGAGTGCTGCGTCATAGAGGCCCGCGTGAGCACAGTGCCTGCCCAGTGCCCTTTTTGAATACCTGAGATCCCCAGCCCAGGGGCTCCTGCTTCCAGGCAGCCACCACCCCGCTCCCTGCAGCAGCCACACTTGCGCACGCACGCACTCCCTCCTTCCCTCCCTCCAGCAGCTGCTGCGCCCACTCTCCCTGTCTGCCTGTTTGGTTTTTCTCACATCACTTGTGGCCCTGACTGGGGTGGCATCCTGACTGAGCCTGTGGGCTGTGGCTTCCTCTGAGTTCTGCTCCCTTGGGACCAGTACAGCAGCGGCTCATCATGCATGGGCAGGAGGCTGCGTGGGGGGTGCAGCTGTGGTCTGCACAGGCCCTGCCCTGGAATACAGGAGCCCACCCTCCCGGGGGTCTGTAGTCATTCGTGTGGATCCCGAAGTCAGCCCTTTCCACTGCGTTTCTCACTTACCGCCCTAAGCTCGGATAGTTGTATCCATTGATCTTGTCACAATTTGAATTCCTTAGCAGTGTGGATTCATAAAGTGGATATAACCCCTAACTACCTCCCGAAGAAATAGCCTGAGCCGCATTTGAGCGTCCAGTTTCTTTAGATCCTATTTTGTGGTTAAAAGAAAAAGTTTGAAAGTAGCGAATTACCCCCGTTTTTGCCACCCTCCATAGGTAAATGTAAGCTGAGGCTCGACACAGACGCCTGTGTCTGTGGTTCAGAAGGTTCCCTTAAGGAGACTCGCGCCACCCTCCTGGCAACCTGGGCCTGGCTTGAACCAGTCCCTGTGAGGCTGCCACTTGGCGGGGACGGACAGACGGAGGGAGGGAGGCGGGCAGGCGGGCCTGGGAACGCGGAAGTGGGAATGAAGGACTCTGCCACCCAGTTCCTCTCTGGAGCCAGGTCCTGGAGGGCACAGCCAGGCCTTTTCCAGATTGGGGTTGTACCTGGTCTGTGGCCAGCAAGACACGACCCATGGCCCCAGAGGGACCCCGTCCGCAGTATGGATGGGGAGGGGAGTGGAGCTGTGCCAAAGGGCCGCTGTAGATTCGCAGGATCTCGCCTGCAGTATAGTCATCCTTTGGGGGGTTATTTTCCCAGTTGGCAAAGCGTCAGAGGACTCGCGTTGGCGCAGGGAAGTGCATGGCCAGTGTGTGAGGGCTGCGGGGGAAGGAGTGTGTTCTGTGTGGCAGGGGCTCCTCTTGGTAGACAGAGCATGGCAGGTCTGAGCTGGTCACCTGTGACAAGTGACAGCATGACTTGTGAAGCTCAGTCAGGGGCAGGAATGAGCAGGCGAGGACCATCTCATCCTGGGCTTTGGCTGATCATTAGGTGAGACCAAGGGGTGAGGTGCATCGGTCATTTGCCAGTACCGAGGCAATCCGCTGCAGTTGTGGGGGCACCTACCAGCTTGCTTAGAGATAGGGGAGTATTTCTGTTTCATGTGGAGCCACCATCCTTCCCTCCCATTAACATCTTCAGTCTTGCCTTCTGTCCACCTCCAAAATGCCACTTGAGAGGGATGGTCGGAGGTTCTCTGAGAAAAGCTGCTGCGGATGTTGGAATGCTAACACGAGTGTCCTTGTGCCTCTTTGCCAACAGAAAACTTGGAATACAACGTGGAGCCTCAAGAAATCTCGCACCCGGATGTTGGACGCTATTTCTCAGAGTTTACCGGCACTCACTACATCCCAAATGCTGAGCTAGAGATTCGATATCCAGAGGATCTGGAGTTCGTCTATGAAACGGTGCAGAATATTTACAGTGCAAAGAAAGAGAACATAGACGAGTAGAGTCTCGTAGGGGACATTGTACCTTTGCTGCTGCTGCTATCTTCCAAGAGAACAGGATGCCAGAAGGAGGTGTGTCCGCGGCTCCTCCGGATCCACACCACCAGGAGTGCCGCCGTCTCACCGGCCGCACTGGCTGCCGCCTCCTCAGTCTAGATGATGTGTGCTCTCTCCTCAGCTGCAAAGACAATGTTGCTCTCCGCCTACACTAGTGAACCCACTCGCAAGGCACTGTGTTCAGTGGCATGGCTTGTGTGCTCGTCCTGTGGTGACAGTTCGTGACATTCTGTCTTCATGAGGTCTCACACGCGATCCTGTGTTCTTTTTATCCACTTTCCACCCTGACATCTGTCTACATTCGTCTCAGAACATTTCACTTGCTGGACAGATGGAGTTATACATTCGCAATAATTTCTTTCTGGTTTCTCTAGAACATGAGCAGTCCTCAGTCAGGATCGTTTTGTCTTTCTATCCTGAATTTAGTTGCATATTCAGAGGTGAAGTCGTACACTAACTTGCAGCATCTTGCAGATGGAGACATTAACAAGCTAATAGTAATTAGAAGCATTAGAATTTATTTTTTGCTAATACATGAAACACAGATTTCAAGTGTTTTATCTTTTTTTTAATTTAAATTGGGAGAATGACAATTTTCCCTTCCATATTCCTCTTGGATGTATGCACATTTCTACAAATCATGAGCTTTCTATTTTACTACATAAGATTCTTCGAGAAAATGCATAATAATGGCCTTTATGAGTGGACTTTTCCACATTCATCTACTATTCCTGTCTTGAAATGACTACTTTTATTTTTTTTCTTTGAGCTCTGCTCCAGTATCATGAGTAGGTCTTAAATCAGTGATGGGTTTTGTTTTGTAGTTAGACTTACACGTCTGATGCTGAAATATTTGCTGTTAGAAATCATACTCTCTGGTCTCCAACGACCAAAATAGGTTTTGTTTTTCTAATCAAAATAAACAAGAACTAATGAACCTTAACTAAAAAGAAAGACTTCATACCCCTTGTCATTCCTTAGAGTCCCTTTCAGACCCTTTTGAATGTGGTGGGGTACAAGGAAAGGAATGTCTTCAGTTTCTGGAGGAGTGTTGGACTCTTGGGAAAGGAGCTGTGCACGTAACCCGGCTCTTGAGCCCCAGTGCCCCAAAGGCAGCGGGACCGCTTGCTCCTGCACCCCACGGGGACATCTGACAGTCTTCAGACCCCCTGGCTCCTTCCCGTGTCCTTAGCTGTCGAGTGGGACGCCACGAGTCTCGATGCCGCTGTGGAACTCCCGCTCCTCTCAGCCCGCCAGCTTTCAGGCCAGCTGTCTTGTGATTAACTAGTAGAAGCTGACTTCGGGGTTGGGCCCTAGTTAAGTTGCGGTCTGCATTTAAAACACATAATCCAGTTGCTCTAGTGAATGAGGCTTTACGGGCGGTCCTGGCCGCCCTCTGTCATTGCATGCGGTATTCTCACGCCATGCTGAATGGCTGCTTGTCGTCTGTCCTTTGGAAACCCTGGGATGACCAAGGTGTGAGGAAGCCACCTGAGACCACTTCATCTAGGAAGGGCTGGGGATTTGGCAGCTGGCTCCTCCCGGCCTGAATTAGCTCCTTCCCGTGTCTGCTTTCCTCATCAGTCAAATCCAAAGTCAGATGATTTGAATTTGCATTTGATAATGTGACCACTCGCAACACCCAGCCTGCCTGAGGAGGCAGGGACTCTACACTACTCTCTCATTTAAAGGTAAAAATTAGGTGATACGGAATTAACATTGAGATGCGTTACTAAGAAACTGTGGGGCATGTTGAGGGTTAGAATTGTTGGTTTTCCGGTTCGATTTTCTTTTTACTTAGAATAACATCGAAGCCAAGAACAATGGTTTTACCTTTACTGATCCAACTGTAAATATGTACTTAGACTGACTGTTTTTAAATGTGTTTCTTCATGAATGCTTCATTTGGCTCCAGGGAGCCTGTATCACCTGTGTAAGTTGGTATTTGGGCACTTTATATTTTTCTAAAAACGTGTTTTGGATCCTGTACTCTAATAAATCATAAGTTTCTTTTTAAAAAAAATTTTTTTCCAAAAAGTTTTCTCCATTTTAAAAAGCCCTGTTATAAAAGTAGATCTTTCACAATGTTAAAATATTAAATATTTGGATATAGTAACTTCTCTTCAAATGAATGCCAACATTTTTTTTTTTGTACAATGATTAATAAATGGAACTTATCCAGAGAAACCATGCAAACAGCCTGCCCAGTTTCGTTTCAGAACAAAAGCCTCCCCACGCTGAGGGAAGGCGATCTCCTCGCTCTTCTGATCCGAGCCTGAAACTCCGTGCCACTGCATTTTCTCGATGTTGGTGAGAGAGCAGGCGGGGTGCCTGGATTGGCATCAAGACTTGCTTGCCAAACAGTGATTTTTTTGAGTTCAAATAATTTTAGTACCTGGTTGCTGCAGAGATGGTACCTTTTTAATTACATGAAAACACTTACAAGACAAGAGCCGCAGGTTCTGGGGCACAGCCAGGCCTCGGGCGGGCGTGGTGTCACCGCGGCCCCACACAGCTGCTTAGAGAGCTGTGTCCGGGGTGTTAGCCCGAGGACTCATATTGTGGGGTCACCGCCTGCCCTGTGGGCAGAGCTGAGGGCCACCTGGGCCTCCCGGGAGGAGCTATTTCATGGAGCTGTGTTTCCCCCAGGCTTCACCACACTCCTGAGCAGCGGGGAGAGCGTGGTGGGCCATGGCTGCTTTAGTAGGACTTGTGACACACAACCCTGGGGCTGGTGCTGGCAGGTCCACTTTGAAGAGTGTCAGTCTTAAGTTGTCCAAAGCTGGCCTGCCCTAAATCAGGCCTGTCACATCCCCTGCTGTCTTTATCTCCACTGCCCACCTACTCAGGCCTGGAGAAGCCGGCTTTCTCCGCCTGAGACTTCTCAGGCACATGACAAATACATTGCCACACGAGATCGTTTTATGGAGACCGCTTCAGATGGTGTCACCTCGGTGTTGCATTTGGTACTACTCACTCTGGTTCTCAGCCCAGAATGATTTGATCTTTCTCAACCCTAAACTGAGCCAGGCCACCGCTTCCCAGGCCTCCTTCCTCCACCATCAGGCCCCTTTGCTGTAAGGGGATCTACTTTTTCTTAATCCCAACTCCAAATAGGGGTGATTATACTGCCAGCAAGTTTTTTTTAACTTCAGAGTATCTATTGTCATCATAATCCGTATGTAACTCAGTGGTTTTTGTTTATTTTGTCTTGATTTTTTGGAAGGAATGAAATGTCCACTTGAATAGAGCACAGGCATCGGCTGTGTACCCATCTTTGCAGGCCAGCGCCTGGGTCATACGTGTGTGACCACTTGAGAACTACGAGCCAGACGCTGACCTGGGCTCTTGGCAATCCCCCGGCAACTCAGGCAGGACCAGATAATAAATATTTCAGTCTTTGTAGGCTATATGTCATCTCAGCTGCATGCTGTGTTATTTTAATCCTTATCGGTACATGTTTGTGGGACGTAAGGATGACACGGGGGAGAAGGGCACATGCACGTACCACAGCTTAATTCCTTTTTATGTTTCCTGGTCCTCATTTGTTTAAAAAAAAAAAAAAAAAAGCATTCTTAGTTCAAGGACTATACCAAAACAGGCCTGTGGTCCTATTTGTGACCCTTTAGGGTCACACTGTGCAGACAGGAAACCCAGATCAGACTGCTTGTGGTGGGGAAGGAGGTGGGGCCCAGTAGGCCCCGCGGCCACCAGGAGCCTAGGAGCCCTTCACACTCACCCCTATGAGCAGCTAGCTCACAGTGCCTGGCCACAGCTTGGCCCGTGAATGCTTTGGTCATGAACATTCAAACTCTTGAGGCTCAGGACGGTCTCTCGCAACAGAAAATGCACACCCCCACCCCACCAGTGTGCTTGAGGCAGTTGTTCCTGTTCCAGTACCCGTTGCTCCTGTCTCTTAGCACCGGCTGGTCACTGTGATGCCCAGCTGGTCACTATGGTGCCATTGTATAAACCAGTCCCTGGTTGACAACTGGGCTGCCTCAGTGCTTCCTGCTTGCTTATCCTATATAAGCCCCAGACCACCAGAGATCACGGCCTGGTATTGTGGGAATGCCCTTGATCAGAACTTATCGACATAAAATAGATCTTCCTCCAAATCCTGGGTATCATTTTGCTGTCTCTGCTTGCTGTTTCCCTCTCAGGGAGTAAAATTCTGTGTAGCATTAGAATAAGCGTGTGGGGCTGGGGAGAGAGCTCAGTGGACTAAGCGCTTGCCTGGTAAGCACAGGGTCCTGAGTTCAATCCCCAACATCGCAAAAAAAAAAAAAAAGAATAAGCGTGTGGTTTCCCTGTAGCGATGATCTTATTAGTATAAGCTAATTGTGTAATAAACAGGCCCCAAAACACTGTAGCTCCAATAGTAGAATTTTCTTGCTCAAGTAATCCTGGCAGGAAAATGGGTTGGTAGGGCACCCACACCCAGGCATTTGAAATCAAGGCCTAAGGGCGTCCTCCAAGCATACCCAAGGGCCTTTTGTCCTATCCTGATAGGATAGTGAGGGCTCCTGTCCAAGGTGGCACATGCTGCAGCCATTCATCCAGGCCCGGTGCAGGGGGCTGCAAAAGGACAGAGGAGGACTGGGATCTCTGTCACCACACCCACACTGGCTGCTGAACCCTCACTCCAAAAGTGGCTGGGAAAGGGCTGGGAAACACCTCCCTGCAGGAAGACCACTCAGGCACTGCCCCTAGCCATCCCCGCACCCCGGTTCACCACAGGTGTTGCGCCCACTCCTCTATCAGCCTGAGGGACAAGGATCACCAGGGCCTCAGGCCACCTGTCACACAGCTGATGCAGGGACAGCTGGACTAGTCAGACTTGGGCTTGGAAAAAGGAGGAAGCAGATGCAGAGAAGCCCCTGGTCCGAAGCAGGGTGGACGTGCTGTGGGGCTTTGTAGGCACTGCCCCAGCCATGGGCCACCTCTGACTACATTGAGGGACTCCCTCGTTCCCATTCGCCAGCCCTCCTGTCCAGGGAGTGGTGTTGGGGGCCCGGCCTGGCAGAATCCATTCCGTGCTCCTCCTCGCTGTGGGAGCTGAGGCTGCTCTAAGATTGGCCCTGTCCTTTGACAAGCTTGGAGTTCCTCTGTGCTGTCAGCAAGGCCTAACAGGCTGCTTGCTGCCTGCTGTGCCCCTGACCAGGCCCAGAGTTCTCTTCCAGAACCTTCCGGCCCGCTGTGCATCCTCGTGCTGAGTCTGTTGAAAATGTTTAACGGGCCTTTGTCACTTGGTGGTCCCATTCTGTAGCTGTGGAGGTGCACGGAAGCTGGGCCTTCCTCTTTCTGCCCTTGTGGTAGGCAGCTGAATTAGATAGAAATATTGGGGCCGGCCAAATAGCTCAGCAGATTAAAGCGCCTGCAAGCAGGCACAGGGGCCAGGGTTTTGATCCCCCAGGCCTGGCATGCCACCCCCAACCCCAGGGCACGCTGAGCTGGGGATTGAGACTAGGTGTGGTGGCACTTGCCTTTAATCCCAGCACTTGGGAGGCTGTAAATGGGAGAATCACTATGAGTCCCATCTAGAAGGCCAGTCTGGACCACAAAACACCACCCCATCTAAAAAAAAAAAAAAAAAAAAAAAAAACAGAAATAGGTAGACAGGAGGACACAATATGGACAAGGTGACTTTGCAACTTGGAAGAGACAGACACTCCCTATAGGCCAGACCTCAAGACAAAAGAGGAAACAAACACAGCTACATACCATCCCTAGGGATGGGCATCAGGGATTGATATCTAAATAGGTATCAGTCACCTTGAAAGGGCCCAAATGAGTCACT